TTGTGGTGGCCCAGGGGGTGCGACCTGGAGGGGTCTGCTGCGGACCAGGTGGGGGGCCAGTCGGGGGGCCGGGCGGGGCTCCAGGTGGGGCTCCAGGTGGCCCAGATGTCGGCAGCTGCGGGCCTTGTTTTGGCTCCGGCTGAGGACCTTCAGCCTCCTCCTCATCTGAATCATCTGAATTCTCCTCCCGCTTTTCTCCCTGTCAGCAATGAGACAAATACATGTACACAGGACTTTAGAATGGTCATATAAACAGACCAATCAGCACTAATGCCACTCCATGAGGATCATATCGATAGTATACCACAAAAGCCTAGGTATGGCCACACCAATTTAGTTTGTTGTTTCTCAGATTCGCCCTGTCCATTTTTTTCTGATTTGCAAAAAAAAGGTGTGGCCTAACAATAAATGAAAACATTACCCTTCAAATGGATTAATTGGTTCAAATTTCTATGATCTATCTCTAGGAATGCATCTGGGGACAGAAAGAACAACATTTTCTCTGTCAAATTTACCTTCTTGGGAATCTGTTGTCCAGCCATCTTTAACATCTTGTACTGGAGCGGGGTGATACCTGGCGGAATCTTCTCATCTCCCTCATCATCATCTGCAAAACGAACCTTCCTCCCTGCAAATTACATTTGAAACAAAGGGCATTAGTCAACATGAAAAGAGGTCAGATACTGACTTTTATACTGACTACTGCCAGAATAAAAGGTTCTATGGCTATAACATAAGCAGCATAGTGAAGGAGTACATGTAATTCTCATGCCATTGTGTCAGAGAGCTTCTTGTGTGCCTCGAGTCTGCATGCTGCAGTTTGTTCCAGTTCTGCTAGGTGGCAGTAGTGATCAGTGCTAATCTGTTGACACTTGGTACTAAAACATGCAGTTTCTTAGTATCAACCATACATCAATACCTTAGACTACAAAGCTATAAATAAGACCTGTTTGCCAAGATTAAGGTCTCCATAGAGATCAAGGAATAGTATTTATATCCTCAAGAGATAATCTCACCTGGATCATCTTTCCTGGGGAGATCATCATCGTCACGGTGATGAAACTCTTCCTCATCATCGTCATCATCGTCATCATCCATGTCGTCATCATGGATGTCATCAAGGTCAGCATCAATGTCAATGTCTGCATGGAGACCTGTAGTACAGGGTGAGACACAAAAATCAGACATACACACACACATGTACTAGCAGGGCTCGAAATTAAAGGTGGTTCAATGGCCACTGGCCATCTTGGCGGGACCTTTGCGGGACTGTAGCCGCTATGCATCAGACCATGATGCCCGCGGAGGATTGATTGATTGAATGGCCACTGACCACTTCAAATATAGGCTGGGACAACTAAAAAGACTCATTTTTGGGACAATACAAAAATAATCAACATCAGAATGTTAGCCCACATGTCCTGGCTTTTGCATCCGGAAAACGTCCCCCCCCCCC